AAGTTTTCAAGAAGAGAGAAAAAGAAGAAATTTGCAGCAAAGTCCCGTTGAATATTGCCTGAAATGTGTTAAGTATAAGCATATTTTATTGCATTAAATACATGTTTAGAAACATATCATACAAATAATGAGTATATGAGTTGGGCAAAAAGTTATTACTACATTAGATTAAGCCCTCCTCTGAAATGTGTACATAAATGTACTTTTAAACTATCACATTTGAAACATACTTAAAATTTTATATTCTTTCAGGTTAAAGGCTCGTATGTTCTCAAACATAAATAATTGTACGTGAAGCTACATGTACATATCAGAAATCGTTGTGATGTGACTTTGATATATGCTTGCCCAGGGATATGATTTAAAGACGTTTAAACTAAAATCCTAGATTTAAAAAATCCTAGATCGAAAAATTGCAGATGGAAAAAATCTGGATCGAAAGTTAAATTATAACAATCATTCGATATTAATCCCCCTTTAAAAAACAATAGCGGTTATTTAAAAATTTTAACCTTCTGTAAAAATGTTGTCGTAACAGCGCAATATGTAGTTTGTAATGTTTAAAATGTTGTTGTTACTCTGAACTTTATAGCTTTCTACATTAAAGGCCTATTATGCCTCAAAAATGTTCTTACATGTTTTCCACAGAAGTTTTTGTTTATTTTTGATGTACTTGACTTATTACATAAGTACATTGAACAAATTTCATGGACCATCTTTTTTTCTGTTTCTTTTTGGCAATTAGTACAGTAATAGTCATTTAGTTTTTATTATGGAAGTCAAAATACTACTTTGTTAACATTTTATTACTTTTATGACACATTGTTGCACATTTGTCTCTAAATTTCTTTTGGTTACACACATCTTACAACCATTATTTAAATGTTATTGAATTCATGTTTGTCCATTTTAAAGAAGTAACAATGCATTCGTTTCTGAGACATAATGTGCCTCAATTATAACATAATTGAGCCGCATTACGACAAACAAACATAGCGGGTTTGCGACCAGCATGGATCCAGACCAGCCTGCGCATCCGCGCAGTCTGATGGATGCGCAGGCTGATGAGGATCCATGCTGTTCGCTTACCAACTCTGTTACAAGTGGAGAAACTGACCGCGAACAGCATGGATCCTGGTCTGACTGCGCGGATGCGCAAGCTGGTATGGATTCATGCTGGTCGCAAACGCACTATGTTGGTTTTGTGGTGACGCAGCTCATATTTATTCTAGTTGTTTGATGAAATAGTTGAATCAGTAGTGTTGTTATGTTGTTTTCTGTTTTTTACGGGATCATTGATTACGAGGGTTAATGAAAAAATTATAGGACTGATGCTCTACGGGTTACATCTTTTAATTTAAGTACTTTCTTTTACAAGTGGCATATATCTATAAACAGTGAAAAAATTAATACTAAATGCTAACAATTTACAATTCTGTGGAAATTTAAAAATGGCAAGGGATACGCGACCCAGCGCACGCTAACAATACAATACTAGACTGTGTTGGAAATTGAGTACTACTTAAACCGGTGCCGGGGGGGGGGGGGTCTTACGGATTTGGCTTTTTAAAATTATCTTTAATGAAAGAACTCTATCACAGAGTTTGTAATTTACTTTTTATTCTCAAATTTGTATTATTGCTCTTGAGGGATTACTACTTTTCAATATTTGTAAATATTTCACAAAGAAAAAAACAAACAAACAACAAAAACAACAACATCCAAACGAGTATAATGCCGATAGTAATGAAATTGTGTTTAATAAATAGCCTGACATTACCACATAAACGTGTTGATGCTTTTCAAATATTATAATTAAAAAATGAAATTTTGACATGTTTAGTTGAAAAGAATTGTTAATTATTAAAAACCGCAAGAAAAAATGACTTGAAAACAACGCGGAAATAATAGCAACGACTTTGTTTCCTTGAGCCACTATGAAGTCAATCAAAATAATAAAAGTCATTATCTGATATTGATTATATGTATAATTAATATACAATTCTTAACTCGGTACGTTAAAAAATGTTTGTAATAGTGGTTTTCAGAAACAATGCTTACATTGTACGTTACTTATTTTATTTTTGTTACTTTGAAAACGTTACAGCTAATGTTATCATCTTTCCTGTTTCATGCGCCATATGGCCTAAATTTTGTCGGTACGACGTAAATCCAAACAAAGTTACTGTTAATTTTCTTTTAATATCATTTCATAGCGACCCTCTGTAAAGAAATAGCATCTACACAACAGGAGTTTTAATTCTTTCAACAATAAGACTTTATAATCAATAAAACCCCAACAGAGCGATTTCTCTGCAAAAACTTAATTCATTGTTTCCATAACGGTGTGGCCCTCTGCAGAGATTGTGCTGTAAATGAAAACACGTTTTTTCTTCAATTTTATAATTTTTTTAGCTTATATTGTTCCAAGGAGTAATTTGATTGGTAACGACTCTCCCTTAAATTGATGTATTTCTAATAACTTTTATATACCAGTTTTCACATAATAATATTTTGTAATAGAATTAGTGCAAAATAAAACCATAATTATATATTATTACGAAGAACGTATGAGCTGAAAAATTGACCTCGATATTTTATATATTAGAAAGTTTTTTCAAGCATACAATTATTTCGAAGGTTTGAGAATTTATTTCTTATGTTCTGTTCTGTGTAGATTTTCGCCAACGGGTTCTTTTACAGTATAGTGTCTTATTTTACATATAATTTATATATTCAAATAAAATTTAGTCTCTTTGGTATGTACTTGGTAATCTGTGTGAACAGAACTTTTTAAAATTACATGAATTCATCTAAGTACACCGAAAATATTTCGTGGATAGTACTGTCTTGCCAATTATACCAATTGTTTGCACAACGTAATAAAGCGAAATTGCGGTTAAATCGCTATAAAGTGAAAGTGAGTGTAAAACGAAATAAAGCGAAAATGTGTTACATTTTTAATGTCCCTTTTTTTTCTTTGAATACGCATATTCATATAATTTAATAATATGATTGGACCTCAATAATTTCCAATATTATTTGTTGGTCAGTCACCACATGTTTTCTCTTTTTAAAGAAGGAAATATATAGTCGTTTTTTTGTGGCATAATGTACATTCAAGCAAACTTTTTAAAACTGTTTTATGCTGTATCTTTATGTCTTCGACATTTTAATTCAGAAATGTCAGTCAGTTCATATGTAAATCAATTTGTATGCTTGACGCCAAAAAGCGATGTTGTTGAAGCTTCTTTTGACAAATAATTACTGTAACCTATCCACATAACTGCTTTGATATCCATAAAAATGTTTGCATTTCATTTATACGGTATGACAATTATATGCTTTACGTCTCAAAGTGTGGAGTTTATACTTAGTTTATGCCGACTTTGAGTGAAGTTAAATTGGCGCTTAATGTTTTTTTATAATATTGTAAAATAAACTGAAAAAAAAGGAAATTACAAACTGTATCATAAAGTTATGGTGGCTGATTTGTGCCGTATCGTATTTTCGTGTTTAAGCATTGTGTCCCTCGGAGCGAAAGAACGACAAATTGGCCACTTTGTCGTATTTTCGTGTTTTTTTGCCTGGCGCCCCGCGGAGCGAAAATAAGACATGGCATATATCAGCCACCTTATAAAATAAAATACAAAAATAAGATAAAACATAGTACAACCCTTATATAATAGTAAGTGGTCTCATTTAAACATTTATATAATATCGTTTGAAAATCATAACTAACTCCTTTTCAATTAACAATCATGAGATTCAGTCAGAACGAAACAGTTCTGAAAAGGAAAACCACTGCAGTTGAAAGGTCTAAAAACAAAATATTTGATTTTTTCACATTGATCAACTGGGGCATGGAAAGATTTTAATGTAAAATGCTAAAATATTTTAATGTACCTAATATCTATTTGAAAATCGTATTTTTGTTCGATTTTTAGCTCGATTTGAGTAAAAGGCGTTTGAATGCTTTTCGTTTTTCATTTTTAGGCCATTTTTCACAATTCTTATAATAATTCTGAAATCAAACTGGATTGAAAAATTCATCTGAAATTTTGCACAACAGTTATTGGCCAAGATTTTCATTAAATGATTCTAACTTTTCCAGTCCCATGTCAATTAAAACATCATTGGAGATTCTTTAAACGAAATTAAAATATTTCTGTGGGGTAACTTTTCAAAACATATAGGAGGGACAAAATTATCTTCACCGATATATCAGCTCCGGACCGAAGAAGCTTTTTTACATCGCCACAAAAAAAACCCTTAATTTTTCTTGAAAGAACTACCTGACGAGATATTTTTCTTCTGGCCAAGACCCACTTCAACAAACTTATTTATATTGATTAAAGATCGTCTTAAAATACATTATACCAAATTCTTATACAATCTGTTAGTTCCTTAAAGTGTTTTTATTTTTATTGTACACGTTTAGATTATTTGATAGACTCTTTTCTGGCAAACTATTTTCTTGTTTTTAGAATGAAAAGTAGAGTTGCAAAGCTTACAATTGGCCTAAATCCAGCAAATTGCTATATATTAATTAAACGTGATTTGATTCTATTTGAAAAAATTAACACGTTCTTATGGTTTAATTTTAGACATTTAAGGTTACAATTATAAACTGTTTATACTTGGCATTATCATACAATATGATATCAGAAACACTTTAGCAAAAGGGACAATACAACAAATCTTCTTTTGAATTAAAACAGCTTTTAAGCACTCACTTTTAAACTTTGTAATTATTTTTTTCTATTCGAAGAGACTTTATGGGGAGCGGTAGCCTTGTCGTTAAGGTGTCTGCCTCTTAAACCAGGGAGCATAGGTTCGAGCCCTACTAAAGTCACGATCATAATTCCTCATATCGCAACAGTACTGGCTAGTTCCTGGAAGAACACTCGAAAGTGATTAATATAAGTTGCGAAAACTTGTTCCGCAATAGAGGTAAAACAACTATGTTAAAACGTTTATAAAGAAGCTGTTTTACTTACCGGATGGTCTTTTATTGCATCAAGTTTTATAAAAGCATGTTCGGAGGTAGATTGTACACTTTTTGATTTAGAATCCCAATCTACCGCATTCCGTATACTGTCAACAATCCAAGCACTAGTCTTATCCAAATTATTAGATAACGGTTTTGAATTCACATTACTTTGAAGTGAAACAATCAAAATCACTGATACTAGTAGTTTCTTGATATTATTTTTCATAGTTTTAACTTTATTTAAAAACTTATACTCCGAAATAATTTGTTAGAAATTAACAATGATTATTTTTTAAAGCAACGTTTAATCGTTCCAGTCGAAAATTAATTTGTTTTTATGGAGGTTTCAACACGATGCTTATTTCACTTTTTTCTGCTTATCCCTTTAAAAATTGATTACTATATTTGCAGCAATTTCAAATTTCAAGAGAAAACTCCAAGAAAAGAGATTTAAAATTACTTAAGCATCTCTAGTACATTTTTTCTTAAGAAATAATGCTCTTTGACAATGTTCGGTGAACTATACCTCCGTCTTTTTACTTAATACGTTCAAGCGTCTACTGTTATCACATAAAAATCAGTTATATATACATATAACAATGACTGAGTGAAACTAATAATATAGGCAAGCATTTCATTATTTTCATGTCATCTTTACTTTGTCATTTATTGACAAGCGACGACGGGCTAATTATAAGCGTTGCTATGTAAAACACGTTAAGTTACAACGTTATCAATTAACGTTAAGGAAGAAGAACGCTCTATCTCGACTAACGTAACGGCATTGGCGGTGAATAAAAGTAAGATTTGTTTAGAAAAATGAGGTAAGTATGATAAAGGGCATCGTGTCTTGTATCTTAACAATTTAAATCTCTGTCCAGTAACCTGCTTTCAGAGGTCAAAGTTACAACGTTAATTTACTATACGCCGTGATCCTGTTTTTGTTGGTGGCTGGAGTTATACAACTGGTATTGTTGAACTTGTCGTCAAATTAGTTATACAATATGGCTCTTTAATATATTCGAGTTTGAATCTCAAAGGTCAGTGGAAAATGAAAACCCATATAGGCGATATCTCACTCTAAACAATACAAATTGCGTGATGGAAGTAAGCTAGTTTGTTTAAGAATTTTTACGTACATCTCTTGAATAACAGTGACAAATCACTTATTAAATATTTATAACGAAATAGTAACATATCTATTTTGGTTGATGCCAAAACATTTATAAAAAGACCATGTAGCAATTATCAGTATTTTCAAATCTCCAATTTGTGCATTATATATCTTTAAAGTAAATATGATTCTGATTCAAGCAATCCCTTGTACGCCCGGATAAAAAAGTTACGCATTCAACACGTGTATAACTGAACAGAAATAAAACTTTTCAAAAATGTTTGTTAGTAAGATATTTTTGTCTTTGTGATATTTTGTTTACAAATGAAATAAGTGAACCACCATCCTTTTATTTTTAAATATATTTTTATAACCAACAGCCTGCTGTTATAGCGATCACAATAACCTTTTGTCAACGACCAGACGTCAAATATATATGTATCAGCGTCCTCTTTGACAATTGCTTTTAGCTCGACTATTGGATAAGAATAAGTAGAGCTATCCTAGTCACCCGAACTTCGGCGTCGGCATAACCTCTTATCATATCCTCTTATGTTAAAGTTTTTGTACCATCTCAAATTGTTCCAGAGTTCATTGACATATGGCTTTGAAACTTTGCACACTTGTTCAGCATCATATCCCAAACCTGTAGACAAGAGGAGGTAACCCTATTAAGCATTTGGACAGAATTATGCCCCTTTTTAGACTTAGAATTTAAGTTCACGTTTGCGTAACACCTCCATTGACATATGGCTTCGAGACTTTGCACACTTGCTCATAACCGTGCCCCAACCTGTAGACAGGAGTAGATAATTCTTTTAAGCATTTTGACAGAATTATGCCCCTTTTCGAATTATAGTATACGTTAAAGTTTGCATACCATCTCAAATACTTTTAAAGTCCATTGACATATGGTTTTGAGACTTTGAACACTTGTGTTCATAAGCATGCCCCAACCTTGAGACAGGAGTAGGTTACTCTATTAAGCATTTTGACAGAATTATGCCCCTTTTCGACTTAGAATTTACGTGACAGATTAGGTACCACCTGAAATATTTTCATATTCCATTGACATCTGGTTTTGAAACAAGTTGAGATTTTATACACTTCTTTAAGAGCATAAAAGGCCTTTTTTGAACAGAGAAAATTTTACATTATCAAGGCTCTTTTATTATCAAGTACTAAGATTAGTCGAGCGTGCAGTCCTATCGACAGCTCTTGTTTAATTTCGAGAAAAATGCGATACAATTGAAGTTTTAGCAGACGACATTTTAAGCAAACATCAATTTTCCAAGGAGGAATGATAAAGGAAATCGTTACAATATGCGTCCCACCAAGAATCTAATTTTTATGACTTTTATTTATTTATTTTCCAAGAAACCTTGACAGTTGTAGCCACACAGCGATTTTTTAAAAAAAAGTTTTGTCTTAAAGTATACTTACAAAGTATCAAATATACTCAAACAAATAGGTGTGTATTCGGCACGTCAATTTCGTGCGCTGAAACTGATAATGATATTCAAATTAGTCCCATGACTGACAGTGTAGACAGTTATAAATACTAATAAATTAATAAATTACACAATAACGGTAATATACATAACCACTTTGCTTATATTAAACTGTATAAACCATATTCTTTATTTAAAAGAATAAGAAAATAAAGCCATAAAGGCCAAGGATGACATGTTAAACACTGAGCAACTGTTTACAGTTTGTACGCTAACAAGAGCACGTGTCTGGTATCATAAACACTTTCGTTCATATAGAATTCGGTTTTTAACCTAAATTCATGTCACATTTGTTTTGTTTTGTTTTCAAAGATACTTTTGTTCTATATACATAAACACACAGACACACATGCACGCACGCGCGTACACACACACAACAACAACAATATAATTTTAATTTACACTTTGACAATTAATTCATCAATTGGTTGTATCACTTATTATATGGTATTATACATGTTCATAATAAATATACTAAATGGTCTTTATGACTTTTGGTATACACTTTGACAATAAATACATGTATATTGATTGTTAATTGGTCATTTTAACTTAAGGCAAACACTTACAAATTAATATGTCAATAGTGGTATTAATATGAATTTATAACTTATTGCAAAATTATACACTTTTACAATTAATTTATAACTTATGGCATGCACTTTTACAATTAATTTATAACTTATTGCATACACTTTTACAATTAATTTATAACTTATTGCATACACTTTTACAATTAATATACTAATTGTCCTGTATAATTCATTGCATAAATTTTCACAATTATTATATTAATTGGTTTGCATAACTTTCCAATTATTATATTTTTTGGTATTTATAACTTATGGACTTCATTTTCACAATTAATATATCAATTGGTCTTCATCACTTTTGGTATATAGTTTCACAATTAATATATCAATTGGTCTTCATCACTTTTGGTATACAGTTTAACAATTGATATATCAATTGGTCTTCGTCACTTTTGGTAAACAATTTCACATTACATGTATATCATTTGGTCTTCATCACTTTTGGTATATAGTTTCACAATTAATATATCAATTGGTCTTCATCACTTTTGGTATATAGTTTTACAATTAATTTATTAACTGGTCTTCTTCACTTTTAGTATACAGCTTAACAATTAATATATCAATTGGTCTTCATCACTTTTGGTATACAGTTTAACAATTGATATATCAATTGGTCTTCATCACTTTTGGTATACAGTTTCACAACTGATATATGTTCTCAAATATACATGTATATCAATTGATTTGAATAACTTATTGATTACATTTGGACAACTAATATATAAATCTGTTTGTATAACTAATGATATGCACTTTTACAGTTAATATATCAATTGTTTTTCATCAGTTATGGCATACATTTTGACAATTAATACATATTCTGGTCTCTTCCATTTTAGGTTTGCATTTTGAAATTTAATATATCAATTGCTTAAGACGATAATTTGTAGATACTTTGATAATGTGCTCCTGGCGCCTCTTTTAACCATAATGCGTTCTTGACAAAAGTCTCTTTTAATGTACGGCATTTTTTTCTTGTGCTAACTTGTTTTCAAGTGTCACCTTATCACTTACTAAAATCTATCAATTATTTCTTATGTATGCCTTGGTACACGCAAACATTTTCAAACGTAGTATAGCTACTTCTGGCAAATTTTCTTGAAATAATTTGTCACGAAAGTAAAACTATATATAAGTGTACCATATCATGGCTATGTTCTTCTTGTCGTGCGCCTTTTCACTCAATCTCTGCGCCTGTTCACACAGTCCCTGCACCTTTTCACAGATTCACTTCGCCTTTTCACACATTCTCTGCGCCTTTCACACAGTCACCCAAGTCGCAGCGATGAATGTTGCTGTACTCTACCTGTACCGTTCAGCTTTTATTCCGGTAGAGCGCGTTTTTGCTAAACGTCTTTGTCCTAGGAGTTGGCACCTTTGTAGTATGTATTTAGAGTATGTGCTCTGCTGTTTGGTTTCAAGTGCGACAGGAGCATTTTAGTAAATGAAAAAGCTTGAATTTGTAATGCATAATTATGTGCATTGAGTTTATGTCCCGATTGTCGCCTTTTGAAGTATGTGTTTAGCTTTGGACTTGAGACGAGACAGTTGCCATCATTGACTGCCTTAGGCTTCAGCAGTGTGTAGTGTCTCTGAATTTCTTGAAAAATAATTAAAAGAAATAGAAAAAAAGATAACATAAAATATTCTTAGGGTGTATAAATATTCCACAAATAAAATATATTGTTTGTTTTTGGTTTGTGTCATTACTAATCAGAACAGCCTCTGAGTTATCACAGTTGTGCTTTTGGTTAAAAACCATGATGACAGATCTATTTTAACTTTACCACACACAAACAAATATATATCCTATATATCAATATCAATAATATTGACCACAATTCAGTTGATTGATTATCGATTTTCATGAAAAAAAAAAGAAAAAAAAGTCAATAATGTCAAATATGTTCAATATGTAAGTTAAAGATATATCATTAAATCAATATATCAGTTTAAATAACTTTTTTTTTTTATAAATGAGACCGTATACATTTTTTATTTATATTACTTTCGCGAATGGAATTTTGCTAAACATCTATCTTTTATTGCGTATTTTGTTTGTATCATGTGTACTAATTGACCCTATTTCTAGTGAACAAATTTTAAAGTAAACAACAAGGATTTAGAAATAGGTAACATGCCTATTTATTTGTTTTGTTATGTGGATTGGGACGAATGTTTGGTGCTTACCTTGAGTCCGGCTCCAGTACAGATGCCATATAAGGAAATGTGGTCGTAACTCCCAGGCAAGAGAGTCCGGCACATAAACAACAATGAATCTGTACGTCTTTACAAGAGGGATATCACTCCGATCATTTTTGATTGAACTTAAAAAATAAAATATGGTCCCAAAGTGGTTAACAATATTTTGCTCTGATTAATATCTGTGTAACTTTCTTTTCGAGGCGAACATTCTGATAGAGTGTACTACACGTGCACAT